GAGAGAGAGAGAGAGAGAGAGAGAGAGAGAGAGAGAGAGAGCGCGCAATGTTGCACTATGAAATGGAAAGCTCTGTATTGAAATGTTGACTACAGGGGAAGGTAATTATGCAATTTACCTTAATTTGACAAACTCAAATGGATTGTCATGGCTGTTATACAAATAGCAAATTTGTATTTGTATTAACTCAAGACATTTACTTAAAATACACTGTTCAGTTTGGGGTCAGGAAGATTCATTACTCCAGTCTTCAGTGTCACATGATCCTTCAGAATTTACTGATTTGGTGCTCAAGAATTTTTTTTATTATTATTATCAACAGTTATCCGCAGCTTAATGTTTTTTTGTAGAAACCGTGATACATTTTCTCAGGATTCTCTCATGAATATAAAGTTTAAAAAAAGAGCATTTATTTGAAATGCTGTAGAAATCATTGGCTTTAATTTCACTTTTGATCAATTTATTGCAATCCTTACTGAATAGAAGTATTAATTTCTTTCTAATAAACTCTTACTAATCCCAAACTTTTAAACCGTACAATGAGGTAAATAAATTCAACATCCATTCAAAAATCCATGTAAGCTTGCCTAACACACACACACACACACACATTTCAATGATCACAGCCTGTCCATTCTGATCTCAAATCGTCCCTCTTTCGGCATCCTTCTGGGCTCTAATTCAATTCAATTCAATTCAATTTCAATTCAAGTTTATTTATATAGCGCTTTTCATGATACAAATCGTTTTTTGATACAAAATTAAGTTTCTACAATATGTTTAGAAGTAGCTTGTCAGTGGTGACTATGTCAGATTGATATACATATGGCAGAAATGTATGGTAAAATTCAGTTAATGATGTAATCAAACAGACGATGAACACTACTAACAGCAATGATTATATGTTGCAATCACACTTGTTGCAAAATTTGGTAATTTATGTTGTTTCAGAGTTGGCATCATCTGAGGTCCTCTAAAGGGGGTTTGCATCATCTCTTCTCAGGTGTTCGGTCATCTCAGGTCTTTGTAAGGGCTGGATCCAATAATTGTGGACCCTGACATGAGTCTGTAATTACAGCTGGAGTGAAGGGAGGTAGATTAGCACATAGCCATGGTGGGTGTTTGAGACAAATCTCTCTGGAGCAGAAGACTCTGCATGTGTATGCGAGAGATTTTTCTGTGCTCGTTATCTCTACATCAAGCTGTCAGCAGATCACAGCTATTCCACATTTCCAAGATTCTGTACCTACTCATGCCTTCTCATTTCCCCTCGGTCCTTGTGCATTCATGAGTGCATGTGTGTATGCGTGTGCTGTCATGTACTACTTGTTTTTTTTTAGGTGGAAAATTCTAATTAAAACTTACATCACAAACACATGTACATAGGGAGGATGCAAAGATTAAAGGGGTGGTTCATTGCGATTTCACTTTTTTAACGTTAGTTAGTGTGTAATATTGCTGTTTGAGCATAAACAATATCTGCAAAGTTACGAAGCTGAAAGTTCAATGCAAACAGAGATATCGTCTTTTAAAATTCTGGCAGTTTAATGCCTACAAAAACAGCTGGTAGGGACTACAACAAGTTACTTCCCGGGTTTGTGACATCACAAACCCAGATAAACCCCGCCCTCGGGAAAAAGGCAGCAAAGGGGGCGAGGCCATGCTGCGCTGCTTTAGAGAAGAGGAAGAGAAAACTAGAACGTAAAAATCTATTCATATATGAACATACTGAATCAGTCTTCTAATGATTCTAATGGATTCACAAGTTTCAAAATCAATGTTCTAAAGCAGCGGTTCTTAATAATGTTCCTCGCGTCCCCCTGCTCTGCATCTCTCTCTCTCTCTCATTCAGCTCAGCTCCAGCAATGAACTGTTACAATTATACACTTATTTTCACATAGCTATGAGAAGCGTTAAACATGGACGCGCGTGCAGTTGCCGTACTGTATTAAAGCTTTAATCAGGATAAAACTGTATATTAAAAGCTAACATAAGCAGTAGCATTTACAAATAACAGCTTATCTAAAAGTATTAGACAACAACAAACAAAAACATAGACCTACCGTTAAAAGCTGTGCTTGCACAGGTTCTGCACGATCATCTTCAATAATAGGGCTCAAACTGATGAGCGATATTAACGATGCCTTTGTTTACAATACAACCGGAGCACATGCCGCTGAGGAGAGGCGTGGGACCATTAGACGCGCACTAGAGGCGGTGTAGCCAATCACAACACACTGGACTAGCTAACCAATCAGAGCCCATCGCCTATTTCTGAGGGAGGGGCTCCATAAAAGCAGGAAATTTATCAGCGCGTTTCTCAGAGAAGGGACAGAGCAGTGTGGAATAAAGGTAAATTATGTGAAAAATAATGCGTTTTTTAAAAAACTAAGCATTAACACATGTTAGACTGCACCCCATAAACACAATCAAGCCTAGAAAAAAAACACTGAACCACCCCTTTAAGTTATTTTAAGATGTATAGCTGCCAGATCTGTGTTTGTTCCTTGTGCCTCATGCAACTTTTTTTTATTTGAGGGGACAACAGTGAGTGTCCTGGCTTAATTGGTGCCCTAGATCAAATAACACATGAACGAAGAGGTCATTTAGAAAATTATTGGTTCATTGTGAATGCAGAATTTGTTAGACTAGTATTGCCGTTTTAAATTTAGTAAGCCTGGGAAGTGGAACTTTTGTTCAAATCTAAACCTAATATGTAATTTTTATTGTACACTTTAAAAAACAAACAAACAAACAAAAAACTAACTAAATTATCTATCCATATACTGTATATGGTAAAAAACGTCTCGGGTTACTTATGTAACCATGGTTCCCTGAGTAGGGAACGAGACACTGCGTCCTCTAGGGGTCGCTATGGGGAACGCCTTGTCGTGACCCATAAATGATTATATTGTCTGCTCGGTGGACGGACAGATCAAATAATTGTAATATTGATTCTGCTACAGTTAATTCGAAGATATAATCTAAATATTTATTATGAATCATAACCAGTTATAATTCGTCGTAAATATTCCCCTTTTTTTAGAGCTAATAAATAATAAAAACCCTTACAGTAGGTATCCAGAGGATACATAGGAGGAGTGGTGCCCAAGGCGGAACCGGGGTTTTAAACCACTCAAAAAGAGCACGAAGTCTTGCGCGTAGCTCTTACCATACAGGATTTTTAGAAAAGTGGGCAACATGGTTGTCGCCGGCCAACGAGTTGGTGTTTTTTCAATGTATGCTTCAGACACGGGTCACGACGAGGCGTTCCCCATAGCGACCCCTAGAGGACGCAGTTCGAAGTTCCCATGAAAGGGAACTAAATGCTTCCGCATCACATTATATGTAATTTTACTGTAAAATACTGAAAATGTATGGTTTCTGCAAGGAAAAACTGTGAATGAACACATCATTTACAGTGAAAAACAGTAAAAGGACATTCGCAGAAGTCCCTGTGTGACATATCACATGTGATTTATATTTTATATAAATTATATTGTATAATTAGGATGTTTTGTCTTACATTTTCTGTTATATAGTTAATATTTATTGCATTATTTTAATGTTACAGTATGTGTTATCCTGATTGTGTGACCCTGTGCAACAACATTTACTAAACCGTTTGTTCTTTTGTGATTTATTTCCCAACAGAGTCCTACTGTAGAGAAGGACAGTTTTGCAACTGTAGCTTCCAGGTCCAGTCAGGCCAGTGCTGTACCTTTGGTTTCTCCATCAGGTCATAAACCGATCCACAATGACCAGCCAGCCATCCCACCAGCACCCCAAACCAGCTCAGCAGCCTCATTCTTCCTCAGGTAAGCCTAACAGCCTGTTGGGGATGTGTTTTTCACAGTGCACTGCCATCAATTCGGCTTATCGTGCTCTGTGGATCCCAGTTACAATAGGGCCTTTTGCACCGCTTTAGTTCCAGAACTAAATGTACAGTACTAAAGTACTGGGAAGGGTTGCATTCGCACCGAGAGTGTGTACTAAGAAGTTACGTAAGCTGGTCGATAGCATCATCATTTGTGTGTGGCGTTCAACAACAGAAACAAAGAAGAACAACATTAACAACAGGAGGATGGAGGACGCTGTGATCGGAGCTGTGTTTTTGTTGTGTCTCGCGGGTTTCACAATAATGAACATGGAAAGTCGATGTATACGTAAAGCGATTGAAAGAACGGAAAGGAGGACTAAGAATCTCCAACGACAACTGGCAGTACTACATTTGCTACAAGTGCCTGCACTTCAGCGTCCGTCCATCTATCGCTGTTCTCCATACTCGCGAAATAAGTTGACACAATGTTTTCAGTATGTTTACACAGCGTTTTAAATCATGGCGGGGGAGGGGGGTTTCATACGCGGTTGGCCAATCAATGTCTACTTACGTCACGATTAGTACCAGTTGTACTGGTTAGACCCTGCTCCGGAGTAGGAGCTAATTTAGATCTCAAAAAAGGCAGTCCGGTACTAAAATCGTACCCAGTTCCGGCAGTGCGTAAACGCCAAAAAGTGGGTAGTTCCACAATTAGTTCTGGTACTATGAAAAGGTTCCAGCAGTGCGAAAGGCCCTAATGTCGTGGTCCCTTAGCACTGTATGTATATATACACTGTGTTCCAAATTATTATGCAGGTGACATATCAATAGGATTTCGGTACAGTAAAGAGTCAGATTTTTGTTTGTGTTGTTTTTCACATCTTTTTAGATAACTGGTATTAATCTCAGACAGGTTTGTTCAATAGTTTGCCAGGTCTTCTTAGCTAAATGGAAACCCTACTTAAAGAGGTTGTTCCACATTATTAAGCAAGTCACAGTTTTCATGAAATATGGTGAGGAAGAAAGATCTTTCTGAAGATGAAAAGTATAAAACAATGCAATGTCTTGCAAAAGGCATCAAAACAAATAATATTCTGCGAAAAGCAAATAGAGATTATTGAACTGTCAAAAGATTTGTTAGTGACTTAGATCACAGACGATCTTGGTCAGATAAAGATTTATTAAGGAAAGTTTCTGTCAAACAAATGAACTGTATTGTAATGCCAGCTGTAAAAAAGCCACTGCTGAGTGAATATGAATCCCATATTTCTAATGTGCTCTCATACTTTTGGTTCCCACTAATATACTGACAAAAAAAAAACGGAGGCAGGTTCTCAGGTGCACAGGGGAGGATGAAAAAGATACAGATATACAGAATTCTGTCTCTCTATTTGTCATCATTATTTTTGTTAACAAAAAAGACAAAGCAACAAGCAACAGTGGCTCACCTAATAAACAGAGGCAGGAGTTTGTGTCTGTGACCGAATGTCTAGGAATTGAATGAGATGCTTAGATGTGTGAGACACTAATTGCTGTGTGACACTGCATACAATTAGCCCATTGACAGCAGCGCTCCTCATCTCTAGCTCACCACCTTCAGTACCACCTTCTGTAAATGACTGACAGACATCACTCTGGGGGGAGGGGGGGTGTCTTGGCCATTACGTTCCCTTAAAAAAAGTAATAAAGAGGCAGTGGGTTAGTCATGCCATTGATTTTAGACACTGATCACTGTATGACCTGTGCTTCTGTGTTGCATCATTAGGTATTACCGCTAATCTTTTTCCATTTGAGTTGACCCAAATCTAGTGAATTAGCATGCACTGTCAGCTAAAGCACATCTGTCTTTTTGATGCCCAGTGCACACAGTGGTTGATAAATAAGGTGGGTCATAAGGGAAGCTTTTGGCAGTGATTTCTGTGTACACTCAGTCAGTCCAAAATCCTGCGAATGAAAGAATGTGCTATTATGCAAATGAGGCACAACTGACAAATATAAATTTAGACTGCCTGTGGCAAAATATCCATAGTCATGGCAAAATGTTTTAATGGTTTCCTCAATTATATGAGTCAGAACAGCTCAAATGTCAGGCGTTGGGTTCATGTACTCTCCCTGGCCTTGACTTCCACCTGGAGCTCACACCTTGCAGAGTCTTTAAAAGCAAGTTGTCATGGTTGCACACTTGTGAAAGAAAAAGAGGCAGAAAATGCGAAATAATTGAGAGAGGAGGTGGTAAGGTGATCAGGAACATATAATTTAGGACCCCCTGTTGCTTTTTTCTCTATTTAAGGCATGTTTTGTTAAAACTGAAATGGGATATATTTATATATTTCCTTTCCTAAGCATTAGCCTTCCAACTGTCTGTACTTACAACAGAATGGGAAAATAGATGATATATAAATTATACTGTGAAACTGACACTCAATAAAACTGCAATTGCGATTGGATGTTATAGATGTCAAGGGGATTAAGTTTAAAAAAAAGATAAGATAAGGGATAACTGCTTGGAAATAAATCCCTGTTGTCAACTTGGTTGCCATTTTTAGGGGGAACGACAGGATGGGATCAGCACAGATCAACCAGTAAGTTTGCATGACTACTCCTTAAATGGGTCATTCTCAAAATATTCTCTTCTGTTATACATTTAAGTTTTGATGCACAAAATACTGGAAGAAAATGTATAAATATTCAATTGAGGGTGGCGGGTTACAGAGCCGGCGCCAGCGCAGCACTGATGAGGGGGCGGCTGAGGTAACGAAAGGGGGCGATGACGTAGCACAAAGTAAAAAAAAACAAAAAAAACATATGTGGCCCATTCACGTATTTTTCGGACCGTAAACAAACCTGCCCGCTACTATTAGAAGACTGGGTTCACACAGATAGTGTTTTGGTCGTGAGACAGGCCAGTGAGATTTTTTTTTTTTAGAGACGTGTTTTTAGCAGAGGAATTTCTTTGAACTTGAGTGCCGTGTTTTAGATTTATGTATTATGCGCGACAAGCTGCTATAAAGACCTGAGACGAGCGCAGCATTCAAACACTAATTCAAAGACGTCCGTAGCGCATTTAGTTTGAAATACAATGGAAAAGTAACGCAGTGGAATGAAAAATGCGTTCTGAGTGAATGACCCAAAAGCTACTTAGCAAATACAGATGGCAGAGTATTGAATAAAACAAAATAGCATGCAACAAATTCAAAAATCTGACATCCAGGAAATAATATGTCTTAGGCAGCAGTTTTACCACAAATACAGACAAGTGATACCACAACCACCAGAAATACTTAATTGTGTCTGCTTGACAATGAAACACAAGCTCATTGCGACCGATTCCCTGACATAACACGACATTGTGACCCATTTAACAGATGCATCATTTTAAGTTAGAACAACTTGAACAGCAACAAACAATAATAATACAGCGAAATAATCAATTAACTACGACCATCTATCCCTCTATTAAACATTAAAGAATTATTTCATCGTACCTTTAGCTTACTCAGTAGTGCTGCATTCTTAGTTGAACCGCTTGCAAAAAGTTGAAAGTTTGTGTGTCAGATGTTACAATTAAAATGCGACTTTGTGAAACGGACTGTCCTAAATTGTTGCTATAGTAGATGGCAGAGTATTGAATAAAACAAAATAGCATGCAACAAATTCAAAAATCTGACATCCAGGAAATAATATGTCTTAGGCAGCAGTTTTACCACAAATACAGACAAGTGATACCACAACCACCAGAAATACTTAATTGTGTCTGCTTGACAATGAAACACAAGCTCATTGCGACCGATTCCCTGACATAACACGACATTGTGACCCATTTAACAGATGCATCATTTTAAGTTAGAACAACTTGAACAGCAACAAACAATAATAATACAGCGAAATAATCAATTAACTACGACCATCTATCCCTCTATTAAACATTAAAGAATTATTTCATCGTACCTTTAGCTTACTCAGTAGTGCTGCATTCTTAGTTGAACCGCTTGCAAAAAGTTGAAAGTTTGTGTGTCAGATGTTACAATTAAAATGCGACTTTGTGAAACGGACTGTCCTAAATTGTTGCTATAGTAGCATCATATTAATGCTAGAAAGCCTATGCATTTGGCAACTGTATTTTTTTAAATAAACCATTATATTTCATAAATAAAATCTATTTTCACACTCATCCGAGTGACGCCCCCTAATCCATGTTAGTCCAGTGTTAAAAACCTGTACTTTAAAAATACAAAGAGTACTTATGATCACAGGTCAGAGTAAGAAAAGGCTCATATTTTCCCACTACTTTGAAGAAGTTATTCATTGACAAGTTATTAATTTAGTTGAAAAGTCAAACATTTTTGAGAATGACCCAGTTAGAGCTTCCCATATTCCTACTGCGCTCCTATTGGGCCATCCAAGCCTTGTGTCTGTGCAGTTTTCAATTTAGCAAGAGACTCTGGTGGCATACTGTGGTTTCTGTGACCTTTAACCCCAGTTGTTTCCCTTACAGACACAGACCAAGCATCACAGAAAAATCCCCAGAGTTAAATCAACTCTGCTCAGAGTACATATTGTCCCAATCTACAGAGTGTTAAAGTAACACTGAAGCCGAGTTAAAGTTAATGGGATAATTAAGCAATTATTTAATTGATGAGTGAGCATTATTAAAGAAAACTTGCTGTTAACAATGTTGAAGATTAACAGCTACTGCTCAGGCTTTTAGACATGAAAATGTATCACATAATCCTCAACAGTGGTAACTTTGCTTCAGTGTTACTTTAACACTTTGTAGATTGGGACAATATGTACTCTGAGCAGAGTTGATTTAACTCTGGGGATTTTGCTGTTGTGACAGATTTCCTTCCTCTCATCTGTTTGAAATTGGCAGTCTAGTAAACACGCCAGAGGGAGTGTAAGAACGCAGATTTGCCTTGGAGGTTTTAGGTATAACGTTTTTTTTTGTTTTTGTTTCCTGATATAGCACAGCAAATCCATAAGTGAAAAGGTGAGCAC